ACACAGTGAGAGAGGGAACACAAGCAGGGGGAGTGGGAGAGGGAGAAGCAGGCTTCCCGCTGAGCAGGGAGCCCGATGTGGGGCTTGATCCCAGGACCCTGGGATCATGACCTGAGTCGAAGGCAGTCGCTTAACGATTGAGCCACCCAGGCGCCCCGAAAGAGCTATTTTTAATATGAAGGCAAGGTGACTAAGGAGAAAGTGCTAAACATTCATATATCAGAATTCTGTGTACTGTTGAAGGTTCCATTTGACATTTTAAAAAGGAGAAACATTTCAAATACACTGTTCTAGAACAGGCATTGGCAGACTTTTCTGTAATGGGCCAGAGAGTAAATATTTTAGCCTTTCTGGGCCGTATGGCTTCTGTAGCACCACAGTTTTGCTATTGTAGCTGAAAGCAGCCATAGAAAATAGGGAAAAGAAAGAGCATGGCTGTGTTCCAGTAAAACTCTTGTGTAACAAAAATAGACAGACTTGGCCTCGGGAGCATAGTCTGCCTACCCTGTTACTATTTTTTAAAAATTCTGTTTATGTTATTCTTTTGTTATACCTGAAGTTGAGCTTAGAGGGAAAATTTCAGCATTATTTGACGAGTGTTGGCTCATGAAAATGTGCATTTGTGCATTATTTATGAAAATGATTTAATTCTGTGTAATTTTGCACTAACAGACGAGGTAGCCCTCTTTTGATTGGTGTACGAAGTGAACATAAACTCTCTACTGATCACATTCCAATACTCTACAGAACAGGTAAAAACTCTTCCTGGGTCATGCCAAGAGGAAAGTGCAGTAGATACAAAGAATTGTGTTCATTAAATTGAAATAAATGCCTCTTTGGTCAGATCCACACATATGTGCATATAGTTCTGTCTAGATATGAAAAGGATTTGTGGTTGTGACTTCTCTGACGAGGAGGATTTTTTTCTGTTGTATATCCTTAGCTAGGACTCAGATTGGATCAGAATTCCCACGGTGGGGATCACAGGGAGAAAGAGGTGGGAAACGCACTCTGCATGGGGGGGGGGTCTTACCCTCTCGTGTTCATTCTTTACTAATTCTTCGTTCTTGGAGTGAATGAATGTGCTGGGCCTCTAAAAATGTGCTTCTTTATGGGGAAACATATTTTGACATTTTTCTAATTTGCAGAGTATACTTTGTCTGTCTGCTTTTGGCATTTAGAAAACCGCTTTTGTTTTTTGAAATTATAAAGTTTTTTTAAATTAAAATCATGTAAGATACATTACTATAAATAAGATGTTTAGATTGGGAAAAGAGCATTGTGTGCTAGGCTACTGTAGATTGAATTCAGTGGTAGTTATTTAATTTATCGTAACTTTTTACTAAATTATGTTTAAATGATCTTTATTTTATGCATGATATTTTACTTTTAGATTCACATTCACCATCTTGATTGCCTTGTTTGAATTTGGAGTCTTTTTTTTGTTTGTTTGAAGTTTATTTTTCTTTATAGGACTTTCAGCCATACGAATTCTGGATCATTTTATTGATATAATTAGAAAACAAATGGCATGCTCTTTTCATTTACTTCTCATTAAAAGATTTCCAAGTAAAAGGGAGTGGTAAATTCAGAAAATTGAAACCCATATTATTAATGTATAATTCTTGGTTTCTTGAAAAAAAAAATTAGCAAAAGACTCTAAACCTGTTCATCTTTAGATAGTGGCTGCTTTAGCTCTTTTATCTAAAGCGGAAAGTTTGTTCCTTGTGTAGCCTTAAGTCATGAAATATTAGGATTTCTTCTTACCCTCTCTCTCCTTCCCTTTTCAGAAGAAAAACTAGTTTACCAATAAGAGTACAGGATTTTGGATCCAGAGTTCCAGATTTCTGTTAATAATCCTGCTCTTGAATACATTACTTTTATGTTACCTTGTACATTTTCTTAGGCTGCTCTTAGAAAAAAAAAAAGGAAAAACATTGGCTAAGGTCTTAAGAAGTTAGAAGAAAAACTTAACATGAGACATCTTTTTAAGATTACGAATTACATTTTAGTAACCTTTATTTCTCTAGCTCCTAGTAGGCAGATAATGTGTGGCTCAGCAAAATTAGTTTCAAAAGTTTAGCCTCTTACTGAAGAGTCTGTCTAAAGGGGGCTTTTAGATTTTTGCTATTTTCTCCAGGTGTAACTACTGACAAAATAAGGGGGGGATGGTAATGATTGTGTCCCACTCAAATCAGATGAGAAAATCGATGTACGGCAAAACATTTTATAGATTGTAAGAGTCCTATAGGTATCAGGTGGTAATGGTTCTTTTCATTTAAATAGGCAATGATATCTTAAATCCTTCTAGGTATAATAATAAAATATACCTTGTTACTTGAAAAATAATTATCTGGAGAAGGAATGTAGTGAAACTTGACACCATCAGGGCATTGTATAACTTAAAGCTGGTTGTATTTATTTTGAAAATATCGGTGCTAAGCTATCCTTCTGTATATTTTTTAATTCCTGATGTAATTTTTTACATCAGGAAAATTAACTTTTTGATGTGCAGTTTCATGAGTTTTGTCAAGTGCAAACAGTTGTATAACCACATCAATCAAAGTACAGAACAATTCCATCCCCATGAAAGTTCCATCCAGCTGGAGCCTTGTAGCCAGTCCTTGTTCCCATACCCAGGCCTTGGCAAACACTGATCTGTTTTTTCTTTTTGTAGTCATAGGATGTCATCTTACACGTATTTTTTGAAGTGTGATATCTTTTTTTGCTATCGAATTTGGATGGAAAGAGCTAAAGAAGTGTTTTATTTTCATGTCTAAAACACATCATACTAGCACGATTGTGGAGAACTTTGGATGTACATTATAAGCAAATCTTTCTAGACGTGCATTTTAGAGGATAGTTACAATATGAATTTTTACAAGTATGTTTATTGTGTCCTCTGGCCGTTGTGTCCATAGTTACAAGGTCTGTAAATGTCCTGATCTCAGAAAAAGGTGCTTTTTTTTTTTTTTTGGTCTCTGTGACATTTATACAGTCTTCAATTAATGGATTCCTCCCCCTGTATTTGGCAAATTTGTCAAATTTCACTTTGCTTTCCAGTTTTGACTTTTGTTGTGAATGAGCAAAAAAGGAAAAAAATTCTTCATTCATGACTTGACAAATTAAATAGAGCTGCCAGAATTCTAAAGTTCTAGGATTAAAAGGATATTATTATTGCAGAAGGACCGTATTTTATCCTAACTTAAAAGAAATATAAGAAAACCCAATTTTAAGAAAGAAGAGGTTCTAGGTTTATGATATTTCCGGTCCTTAGCAGTAGGTGCCACATATGGTATATGATGGTTAGAGAAAAGTATCTTTGTTTTGTTTTGAAATCAGAATTAGTGTAGACTACAACTTGATTTGTTGTGCTGACTTACTGTTAAAATCTAGAGTTTTGTTATAATAAAAATTAATATGCCATCAGTCTTCATTTTATTCATTGCACAATTTTGATATTTTAATGTAATTTTTATAAGTTTAGTTACATAAACTTAGGTGTATTCTATCAAGTTTTGTATGAAGTTAAATTAAAATTAGGTGATACATACTTTGAGTGATATTAGTGAATTATTTGCCTTTTACCTGGAAAAGAAATATTCTGTTTTAAAAATTTGTAATGTAGCACTCTTATCTGCCATGCTCTCTTGGATAGTTGCTGTTTCACTCTATACCTTGTGTCTGTTGTTCTTGTTGGCTTTTTGCATGGAAATAAGGTGATCGATCTAGCATCTTAAAGTTGCTGAAATTATTTTGTGTTGCTATGGTTTTTTGTTGATTTTATAGAAAATTAGGTCTATTTACACATTGGCCATGGTTTCCCACATGATTGCTGATTTGTGTTAACTCCGTGCTCTAGGGAAGGACAAGAAGGGAAGCTGCAATCTCTCTCGCGTGGACAGCACAACTTGCCTTTTCCCTGTTGAAGAAAAGGCAGTGGAATATTACTTTGCTTCTGATGCGAGGTGAGCTTCCGTCATTGGTTCAGAAAATTTTAGTAAAACTTCTCATGTTACTGAAACCAGAAGTCATTTTGTACCTATCTAGTCATCCTGTGTGGGAGAATTTTGTCAATTAGGGAAAATGTAGGTGTCCTTTTTGGAGATGGGGTTCTAAGAATACTTTTCCTCTCAATTCAAAGCCCATAGGTCAGTTTACCGAGAAAAGAGAACAGTCCTTGAGACTTGTTCATGCATATTTACTCTGAGCTCTTGTATTATTTTTCCTCTTCTTTCTGGAGCCTTACCCAGGTTTTTATGGGGAGGAGAGATTTTAGATTGAGGAACAGGATGGCTTAATGTCCCACCAATTACAGTATGCTTGCTAAACCCATTACAGTTTTAGTCCAATAAAGACACTTGCCTTTTTTAATTCGGAAGTAATTTGCAACATAATCACTTTTATAAAAGAAATAGTACTAGACTAAGACATTTAGAGCGAGAAATACCGTGGGATGCTTAGATGCATTTATAAATGGAATACTAACAGTGATGAGGATCGAGTGGAGTCAAGTTGCCAGCAAGCATTTGAGTCCTTTCTTGTGCCTGAAAGTGAGGGAATCTGAAGATGAGAAAGTGTCGTAGCTTAGGGCTGCCGGGAATGCATCATCTCTGTGGGAGAATAACCTTCACTGTTTCCTAATCTTTGCAGGAGTGTAGTCAGTGCTAGGATGTATCATTGTTGTCATTAAGTAGGTTTGTTACAGAATTGACTGTTAGGGCTTTAATAAACTGGAAATTGCAGAAGCTTATCATCCTTTTGTCATTCACTCATACGTTCATATTGAACACTCTGAGCAAAGCCATGTGCTAGGCTTAGGAGAGAATTGTGAGTAAAGATAAAAATATACTTGTCCAAGGAGGGCCTGGCTGGCTCAGTCAGTGGAGCCTGTGACTCTTGATCTCAGGGTTGTGAGTTCGAGTCCCACGTTGGGGGTGGAGATTACTCCAAAAAAATAAAATCTCACAAAAAAAGATATGTATGTATATATATTATAAACACTTGTCCTTGAGGAGCTTTTCCTTAATGGAGAAGACAAATTTTAATCAATCATACAAGTATAGAATTCCAGCTGTGACGAGCGACAGAATGCCTGTAACAGGGTGACTTGGCCTCCTATGGGTGAATTCCTTTAAGGGAGTGACACTTGAGAGATAGGAGATGTTAGGAGTTAGTTAGGTGAAGAGGTAGAGGGAAGAACATTTTCTGCAGATCAGTCTGTGAGAGCTCGGGAGGGGTGTGAGTATGGCTGGAATAGAGGAAGTTTGGTGGGAGAGGAGGCTAGAGAAGGAGGTAGGGTCATGTTAAGGTGTTTTGTTGTTTTCTGAAAAGCCAAAGGAAAGCCAGTAAGTGGTTTGTTGGGTGAGAGAGAAATCTTGGTTTAAGTTACTTGTTGATACTCATTTTGGCAGAAACAGAATGGGTGGAGGGCGGGAATGTGGTTGGTAAGTTAGCAGGTTGCTGCAGTAGTTCAGCCAAGAGCTGATGGTAGCTTGAACTGGCTTGTGGCCGTGGACATAGAGAGAGGCTTTGAGAAATATTTAGGAGTTAAAATTGAAGGATTTTCAGGAGAGAATGAGGAGGAAATAGCCACGGCTTCTGATTTGATCGAATCTAGTTTGGTTTAGGGTGCTGCACAGAGATCCTTTTGTTCCTTGTCCCCAGTAACCGCCCACTGCCCTGTAGGGAATGGCTTTGGTAACCAGAAAGTTATCAGAGATACTGCAGGAGGATAGATTTGTATTTTTTATTTTATATTATTTTTAAAGATTTATTTATTTGAGAGAGAGAGAGAGAATCTCAAGCAGAATCCCTGCTGAGCGTGGGACGACCCTGAATCATGACCTGAGCCGAAATCAAGAGTCACATGCTCAACTGACTGAGCCACCCAGGTGCCCCAAGTTTGTATTTAAACTTGGTCCATGTGTCCTAATGATAGTTTTATTTGTAATAATCATCCTTGATTATTGATTGTAATATCTTCTTGAACATTTTATAGCGCTGTCATAGAACATACCAATCGTGTCATCTTTCTCGAAGATGATGATGTTGCAGCAGTGGTGGACGGCCGTCTTTCTATCCATCGAATTAAACGAACTGCAGGAGACCACCCTGGACGAGCTGTGCAGACCCTCCAGATGGAACTCCAGCAGATCATGAAGGGTGAAAGTTTTTGTCATATGGTAGCTTGGTGTCCTTAATGGAAAGGAGACCTTCTACTTGCTGTGGTAGTGTAGGAATCTGATGACACAGTGCTGACTGAAATCTTCCACATGATTAGTGAGGGGAGAACCCCAGGAAAAGGGATGATTTTTTGGAAAAATTACCTGCTGGTCTTAAAGTAGTTGTTCTTCAAACTAATTCGTGGTTTGTTGTTTCTGACATTAAAAAAGAGATTGTTTAAATAGTAGTTGATATTTTTAAGATACTTTATAAGCATAGTTTGTGTTCTGTTCTTTATTCCTCTCTTATTCTTCCTGTGCTTCAGTTTTCTCATATAAATAAATGGGGATAATAGGACCTGCCTCATTAAGGTTGTTTTGAGGATGAAGAGAGCTAATTTATGTATAGAGCCTTCAGAACAGGGCCTGACACACTTGGGCCTACATAGTGTTTGCTATTGTTAACTGTTAAGACTATTTGCGGTCATGATTTTTATTCTCCTTTCTGATGGGGTCTAGGTGGGCTAAAAGCTAACATTTATTGCATAACTGCTACATGTCAGGTCTCTCCTATATTAACACACTACAGTGCTATGAAATAGTTGCTCTTCTTATTTTACAGATGAAGGAATTTCCCCAGAGCCATTTAGGTGTTCAAGGATAGAACCATAATTTGAACCTAGATCTGACTCAAACTTAAGTCTGTACCCCTCCTCTGTTTTGTTCTAACTGCATATTTTAGCTATGAAGTTAAGAAAGTGCGTTTTCCTCCTTATTTTTCTTCACATAGGGCAAAATGTCACATGTGAATATTGTACTCTATTGCATGAGCTCTTGTTTCATTTACTGAGATTATGTCACAAGGTAGACTTTAGTTGGTACAGATTTCTTAATTACATAAATTAATAATATAATTTATGTTACTTTAGGCAACTTCAGTTCATTTATGCAGAAGGAAATTTTTGAGCAGCCAGAGTCCGTTGTGAACACGATGAGAGGAAGAGTCAACTTTGATGACTATACTGGTAATCAAATACAAATTATTATTTCGGAGCCTCCTGCAGGGTTTGGCCTCGGCAGCCTGAAAACTCATTGTCCTTGATAGCCTCACAGAAAACGGTGGCTGCCAGCCGCCAGCGGTGCCCTCTTACAAGCCCTCCCGTATATTATTCCACTGAAGTGAGGTGCACCTAGAGTCGTCAGAGACATAGAGACAGAAGGTCGGTGAGTGGTTGCCAGGGGCAGGGAGAGGGGACGAAGAGGGAGTCATTTAATGAGTGTAGGGTTTCAGTTTGGGAAGATGAAAAAAGTTCTGGGGACGGATGGTAGTGATGGTTGCACACCAGTGTGAATGTGCCTAATGCCATGGAGCTGTACACTCAAAAATTGTTAAAGTGTTAAATTTACGCTACGTATATTTTACCGCAATGAAAAAGGGGAGATAATAACTAATGATTGCCAGAGGCTGAGGGGACGGGGATGGAGAGTGATGCTAATGGCTGTGGGGTTTGGGACAGGTGATGAAATGGTCTAAAATTAGACAGTAGTGATGGTTGCACAACTCTGAATATACTAAAAACCACTGATCGTACACTTTAAAAGGGTGAATTTATAGTATATGACATATCTTAATAAGGTGGTTATAAAAAATGTAAAAACTGGCTAGGAAGTCACAGTTGAAAATTGTCAAAGGAGTATTAGCATGATTTTCCTGGAGGCGGGGGATGTCCTCCAGTGTATCATTAAAAAACATTTAACTTCTTTTCACTTCAGAAAACCTTTATTGGGCACTTGCTATGTAGCAGGGATTGTTCAGGGCACTGTAAATTCCAAGAGTAGTGAGACCTGGTCCTCTCTTTGGGAAGCTTGGGATGCAGTTGCCACTTAGGATGTTGTCCTGTCTGGGCTGAAGCGATGGGGGAGGGGAGGAGAGAAGCAGGAGGTGTATCTGCGGATGTGGGGAGAGGGGGTTGTTAAAGGCAATTGAGCCGGAAGAACTGGGAGAGCAGCAGTAAGGACCACCTGTGGGTTTTATGGAAGAAAGATCCAGAAAAGGATTTATTTCACAAGGGAAGACAGATAAACTTTCAGAACTTCAGAATTTTAAAAAGCACTTTTATCAATGTTATCTCCTTCATAAAATGTTCTATAATACAAACAGGATAGCCGTTATCTTTTTTTATTGTTAAGGAAATTGAGGCTCTATCAGTTTGATCGTCTTGCCAGAGGTCACATTGCTGGTCCTTTGTGGAGCCAGACTAGCCTCTGGTATTCAGCAGTGTTCCTGAACTTGCTCCATCCTTGCTCCTGTCCTCTGGGCACTCTTGCTTTTATTTTTGTTTTTGTTTTTGTTTTTTTTTATTTGATAGACACAGCGAGAGCCAGGAACACAAGCAGGGGGAGTGGGAGAGGGAGAAGCAGGCTTCCTGCGGAGCAAGGAGCCCGATGTGGGGCTCGATCCCAGGACCCTGGAATCATGACCTGAGCCGAAGGCAGCTGCTTAACCGACTGAGCCACCCAGGCGCCCCTATTTTTGTTTTTTTAAAAATATTTTTTATTTATTAGAGAGGAAGTGGGGGAGGGACAGAGGGAGAGGGAGAAGCAGACTCCTCACTGAACAGGGAGCCCGATGTGGGGCTCGATCCCAGGACCCTGGGATCATGACCTGAGCCAAAGGCAGACGATTAACCGACTGAGCCACCTGGGTGCCCTCTTGCTACTTCTAGTAGCTGTGACCCACCTTATTAGAATTAGGCTTTTCTCAAAAGCATCATCCATTCAGACCTTGGGTGACTGCATTCAGAACTACCTCAAACCTCCCTCAGCTAGTAGGGAATTTGCTGTTTTTTAGGGAAATAGTTGTCACCCAGCTAATCTCACCATCTTACTTCCTGTCATTCTTGGTCATCATCTCAAATACATGTCTCTCTGATTGTCTGCTTTTATACTGAGTCATCTCCAAACTGATTTGCCATTGCATGACTTTAACCCAGCCTCTTAATATTGTTTGCTTTCTTCCCAGACCTTTGCAATACATGCCAAGGTCTGTGGAAGAATACTACAGGCAGGGGTGCGCTTGGTCAAGGGCAGAACAGCAAGAAGGCTAGTCTGGCCGCAGTGCTTGGGTGGGAGGGACAGTACTAGGAGATAAGGTCAGAGTTAAGCAGGAGACAGGGCATGTGGGCACTTGAAGACATAATAAGGAGTTTAGATTTTATTCCAAGTTATTTGGGAAGCTGCTGAAGCTTTTTGTGGTGGTTTTATTTTTTACTTTGCTGATTTTTTAAAAAGAGAGAGATATAATATGCCCTCTTAGTATTGAAATTTAAAAGGGAGACCATAAAGTTACTCAAAAATAAAAAGCAAAACATATGCTTTGGTTTTATATTATGACCATGAAGGTAGAAAAAAGTGTGGGGAGACAGAGAGCAGGGGCAGAATAGACAGACCAAGGGTGTGTCAGAGGCAGGAGGATGCTGCCCCAGGGGCATGCGTGTCTGTCTGCTCAGACAAGCCTTGGAAGCATATTCACTTGGTAGGTGCTCAGGAAATATTAGTAAATGGATGTTGAATGAAAATTTCTCCCAGGTAGGAAACAAGCCTTGTGTTCAAGTATTTCTACACAAGGTGCCCTTAGAAGAACCCATAAATAGCCGTAGAGACAGAAAGAGGACAGACTCATTGGAAGGTTTTGAGATCATTTAATGTTTTTATTTATTTATTTATTTTTTAGAAAGATTTTTATTTATGTTTTGACAGAGGCACAGCGAGAGAGAGGGAACACAAGCAGGGGGAGTGGGAGAGGGAGAAGCAAGCTTCCTACGGAGCGGGGAACCCGATGCGGGGCTCGATCCCAGGACCCAGGGATCATGACCTGAGCCAAAGGCAGACGCTTCATGACTGAGCCATCCAGGCGCCCCTCATTTAATGTTTTTAAAGAATCATTCTAAAAGATGATTTTACTCAGGCTGTGTGTGGAGGACAGGCTCTAAGAGGCGGGGATAGAAGAGAGAGTGATTAGGAGAGTGTTGCTCTGGTCGGGGCGGAGATGTTGGACTACATGATGGCGTTAGAGTCCCCCCCTGGAAGGCGCGCTCACAGGACCTTTGGGGTGGTCGTAGAGAGGGATAGGAGCAGTCGAGGGTACTGCCATCTGGCTCTTGGGGGTGGCATTTACTGAGGTGGGAAAGACTGAAAGGAGAGGGGGTTTTTCTTGTGTTCAGAGCACTGTTCTGGGGGTAGGGGGAACACTGTTCATGTGGGAAATGAATGTAAGTAACTAAGTCCATTTTTTCCCAGGTAGCTTAAAGAGATACAATCAGGTATAATGAAATTCACCATTGTTGATGTATAATTCTATAAGTTTTGACAAACCTCCACCACGTGATCATAACCCTAACCTCCACAGCAGCCAAGATGAAGCACAGTTCCATCGCCTTCCGTACCCCCTCTGCCCCTTTGTGGTCAGTCCCTTCCCCACCTCCAGCCATCAGCACCTAGTGTTCTCTCGTCTGTGCCCCTGTGGTTTTGCCATTGAGATAAATTGTAATCTAAAGAGAGGAACGGAAAAATGACCAGACAGGGTAGAGTGAGATAAAAACTGTAGGTGTGTGGGCCTGCAAGGGAGTGAGTAAGGTTAGACAAGTTTGGGGCGGACAGTTTAATTTAGTTTTCAAAACCGTATATAATTCTTTAAAATGGTAGTGTTCTTTCCCAGATTGGCAGTGGACACTCACGAAAAGTGATTACCTATTTCCCGTGGTTCTTTCCTAAATAATTATATTCACAAACTTTTATTTCAGTGAATTTGGGCGGTTTGAAGGATCACATTAAGGAGATCCAGAGGTGTCGGCGTTTGATTCTCATTGCCTGTGGGACAAGTTACCATGCTGGTGTAGCAGTAAGTGGCTTCTTAAGATTTTAACTGTTTGATGTTGGGTATCAGAAGGTGTCTGTAACACACCATGTAAAATTATGCTTTCTTAAAACATGATGTTACCTTGTTCTGTTGCTAAGACAAAAATCAGGAAGGTTGGGGCAGAAATGTTAATATAGCTGCTTAGAATTATTTATCAATGGAAGATTTGCTTTAGAAAGATCTTTAGATATACAGGTAGACCACCTGCAGTGACTTCATGGAAGAAAAAGAGTGGGAAAGTTTTTCTGTAGGAGCAGTCATTAGGTTTGGTTATCATCATTTTCTTAGCTCAGACAGATGGCTGGTAACATATATGAACCTCAACAGGATTTTACTTGGCAGGCACATTTCTGCAAATGAAGGAAGTCTGCTTCTTGTCAGACTTTGTTCTTTATATTTTTGGAAGCTAAATTTAAAAAAAAAATTTAGATTTTTTTCTAGTTTTACTGAGAAATAATTGACATCATTGTCTAAGTTTAAGACCTATAGCTTGATGGTTCAACTTAGATATATTGTGAAATGATGGCCACAATAGGTTCGCTTAACATCCATCTCCTCATAGAGGTACAGGAAAAACAACAGAATAAAGGAAAGAAATTTTTCTCTGTGGTGAGAGAATTCTTAGGATTTACCGTCTTAACAGCTTTCCTTTATATCCTGCAGCAGTGTTCGCTATAATCTTCATGGCGTACATTATACCCCTAGTGCTTGTTTATCTTATAACCGGAAGTTTGTATCTTTTACCATCTTCCTCCAAACCCCCCTCCCCCAACCCCTACCTCTAGTAACCACAAGTCTGATCCCTTTTTCTATGAGTCTGTTTTTGTTTTGTATTGTGTTTTAGATTCCACATATAAGTGAATCATACAGTATATGTTTTTGTCTGTGATCCTTATTTCACTTAGTATAACACCCTCAGATCCATCCATGTTGTCATAAATGGTAGGATTTCCTCATTTTCTCATGGCTGAATAATATTCCTGTGTGTGTGTGTGTGTGTACGTACGTGTGTACACCATAGCTTCTTTATCCATTCAGTGATTAGGGACACTTAAGTTGTTTCTGTGTCTTGGCTTTTGTGAATAATGTTGCTGTGAACATGAGGGTGCAGATATCTTTCCAAGTTAGTGTTTTCTTTACCTTTGGATATACTCCCAGAAATGGGATTGCCGGATCATATGGTAATTCTATTTTTAATCTTTTGAGGATCCTCCATAGTGTTTTTCATGGTGGCTGCACCAGTTTACATTCGCACCAAGAGTGCACAGGCGTTCCCTTTTCTCCACAGCTACACCAGCGTTTGTTAATCTCTGTCTTTTTGATGATGGCTATGCTAACACATGAGGAGATAGCGCATTGTGGTTTTAATTTGCATTTCCCTAATGACTAGTGATGTTGAGCATCTTTTCGTGTACCTGTTGGCTGTTTGTATTTGGGGAAATGTATATTAAGGTCTTTTGCCCATTTTTAAATTGGGTTTTTTTTCCAGGTGAGTTGTATGAGTTCTTTATATGTTTTGGATATTAGTTTCTTACCAGATACATGGTTTACAAATATTTTTTCCTGTTCTGTAGTGTGACTTTTCACTTCGTTGGTTTCTTTTGCTGTGGTTTGATGTAATCCCACCTTCTTATTTTTTATTTTGTTGCTTATGCTTTAGGTGTCATATCCAAGAAATCATCACCAAGACCCATGTCAAGAACTTTGTTCCTATGTTTTTTTCTAGGAGGTCCCTGGTTTCAGGCCTTACATTTAAGTCTTTAATCCATTTTGAATTAATTTTTGGGAGGCTGATATTCTGTATCAAAGATGTATGTTGGTTGTCAGTGCAGAAGCTTAGGAGTATAATGGTCTTTTAGTCCAATAAATCAGATTCAGATATAGTTTTCTTATCAAGACACCATTTATAATGCTGTTGTGGTCAACTCCCGTAAGTACAGAAGACCCTTACACATTCAGTTTCTACTTCTAGAGTTGATTCCAAAGTTGATGACATAGTGATTTGGGGGCAAAAATATCTATGATCTGCACTTGTGGGAGCCAGTCATGTAACTAGTGATGGAAACTGGGTGGTTGTCCAGCCCTTGCATCTCAGTTCTCTAACCCACCCACTTCTCAGATCACATGGTCTAAAAAGGAAAGTCTAGGCAGTATTGAAGGGGAGAGTTCTAAGATAGTGCTTGTTTCGAGGTGCCTGGGTGGCTCAGTTGTTAAACGTCTGCCTTCGGCTCAGGTCATGATCCCGCATCAGGCTCCCTGCTCAGTGGGAAGCCTGCTTCTCCCTCTCCCTCTGCTGCTCCCCCTGCTTGTGCTCTCTCGCTCTGTCAAATAAATAAATAAAATCTTAGAAGAAAGTGCTTGTTTCAAACATGGGGAAAAAAAATAAAGACCTGAGTGTAAATGAAGGGATTGGCCAGTTCCCTGGTAGCTTAGATCTGTTGTTACAGAGTGAGCCCTCTATTCAGAAATAAAAAAAATTAAATGTTTCATCTAATGCTAAACCTGAATTTTAGGGCAGAAAGTATATGCTATGTTAGAATTCTCCAGTTACGAAATTTGAGAAAATGTAAGGTTTGTTTTGTTTTTTGGTAGATGCTGAGACTACTATAGTTAACGAACAGAAGTCCCTTTGGGGTGTATCATACAAAATAGTGTCGTCAGTTCTATCTGGTTTTTTTTTTGTGTGTGTTTTTTTGGTGGAGTCCAAAGTGACACATGCATAAATGCTTTTTTAATATATAATATGTATCCTGAAGAATAACAATCAACTAAAATCATTCTAAGTATAGTTTGCTTTTCAAAATGTTGTTTGTCTCTCGGTTTTTACAGTGACATACAATAGAATTTATAACAGTATATTAGTCTCTTAAAATGCAAATATGTCATGCTGTATATTTATAAAGGGTTGCTTCCACTGAAAGAAAAAGACATTAGCACAGATACCTTGAGATTACTTTTGTGGGGTATATTTTAAAATACCTGGTTAAGTTGCTAGATTGGTATCTTTCTCTTTTTATTTTGAAGAATATAATTTCAGTGTAACATTTATATTGTAAATGAGGGGGTAAAGTTTGATTTTTGTTTGAGGAAAAATGCATTTTAGGGTCAGTAACTTATTTATGTATAATTAGTTAAGTAAAATACAGCAATGGAAAAGATTAGTTAAAAATAGGATTTTATCTTTGAAGACTTTCTGTAAGTGATGTTATAACGTTGTTAAAAAGCGCCAAACCAAAGTTATAGAATGAAACCATTTAGTTTACTTTTGTGGACAAGAAAGTTAAAGGGGTATGAAGTAAGGAAACCTATATAGTTCTTCACTCCGGTGAAGGAGGAATGCCGTGATGGGGCAAGAGATGAGTGGGGCCCTTTGCCTAAAGAAGCAGGTGGTCTCCACTACAACTAAATGTATGCATCTGTAGGGCCTAAAATTTTTGCTGCCTAAAATTTATTTTTTTTTCTGTTGTTTAATTTTCACATTTAGAGTAAAAGGAATTGAATTAGAATGGAAATTAGTAAAAAAAAAAAAAGCTAAGGTGCTGTTTGAATAGAAGCATACTACCGCCTACTTCATCCTCCATACTACAAAATTTAGAAATAGTGAGCTTTCTTAAACAAGAGTTGTAAAGTGTATTGACTTTTTTTGGAAACAGTACTAATTTATGAATACATAGTATTTTTTTAAAAAAGATTTTATTTATTTATTTGACAGAGAGAGACACAGTGAGAGAGGGAACACAAGCAGGGGGAGTAGGAGAGGGAGAAGCAGGCTTCCCACGGAGCAGGGAGCCCGATGCGGGGCTTGATCCCAGGACCCTGGGATCATGAACTGAGCCGAAGGCAGATGCTTCATGACTGAGCCGCCCAGGTGCCTGAATACATAGTACTTTTGAAGTGTTTAATTTTTCACGGGGTGTTTCTATACCTGTGGTTATCTCATTTGAAATCCCTCAGTGACTTGGTGTTATATGAATTGTCATTTCAAGTTTAGAAATTGGGAAGTTAAAGATAATACATAGGCTAACTCAGAACAGTGCTTTTTCTACTTCTCAAAACAGTTTATTTGTGTAGGTGTATTTGCTTTTAAGAGTACATGCATTGATAACTATCCAAAGAGACTTGTACTAAAATGTTAACAGTGCTTATATCCTGGCTGGTGGGATTTTGATTATTTCTTATGCTTTAATAGGTATTGTTTATATTTTCTAACAATGCACGTGTATCATTTTTGTAATCAGAAAAAATAAGTGTACACTGAATCCAAATAGTCCAGTGAGAATAAAGAGTATTTGAAGTAAGGTGATATGACCAAATCATCTTTTCTCTGTAGACACGTCAAGTTCTTGAAGAGCTGACTGAGTTGCCTGTTATGGTGGAGCTTGCCAGTGATTTCCTGGATAGAAACACGCCAGTTTTTCGAGATGATGTTTGCTTTTTCATTAGTCAGTCAGGTATGCTAATTTTAAAGACTTGAAGGACAAGGAAGTCATTCAGTTATAGCATATCTTGGCAAAAACTGATATTTAACGATAAACAGGTATTGCAGATGACCTGACAAATATAGTAATTTATATTGATATTATGTAATTCTCTGTGAGTTAGTAAAATTAACACATTTTATACTCAAGGAGCTGAGTTTTCAAAGACAAAGAAAGAAAGGAGATCCTAAAAAGTAGGAACTTATTATTAAAAGTTTTACAAATTTATTAAAGTGCATGTCTTTTGTTGTTGTTTTAGACTTATTTTAGAGAAAGAGCGTGCATGCGAGCTGTGGGGCAGCGGGGGTGGTTCAGAGAGGGGAGAGAGAGAATCTCAAGCAGACTTCCTGCTGAGCATGGAGCCTGACGTGGGGCTCGATCTCAGGACCCTGAAATCACAACCTGAGCCAAACAAGAGTCGGACGCTCAACCAACTGAGCCACCCAGGGACCCCTAGTGCATGTTTTAAATTTTACTTAAAACAAATGATACTGTTGGCACTCCTGGGTGACTCAGTCGATTAAGCCTTCGGCTCAGGTCATGATCCCAGGGTCCTGGGATTGAGTCCCACACTGGGCTCCTTGCTCAGCAGGGAGCCTGCTTCTCCCTCTGCCTGCCATTCCCCCTGCTTGTGCTCTCTCTCTCTCTCACGCTGTCTCTCTGGCAAATAAATAAATAAAAAATCTTAAAAACCAAAATAATACTGTTGAAAGTGAAAGTTTTTTGTTTTTGCATCTGAGAAACAGTATCTGCTGACTGCTCTGTGTGTTACTCTTGTCTTTTTACATAGGTGAGACAGCAGACACCCTAATGGGTCTTCGGTACTGTAAGGAGAGAGGAGCTCTAACTGTGGGGATCACGAACACTGTGGGCAGCTCCATATCGAGGGAGACAGACTGTGGCGTTCACATTAATGCCGGGCCCGAGATTGGTGTGGCCAGCACGAAGGTAAGTTCCTGACTTAGTTCTCTTGGTTATCTCATCATAGTACTGGTGGAAACACACTAATCCGTACCGTATAGTTCATTTGTTAGCACTTATAGAACTCCTGTAGTTTACCAATCATTGTAATTATTGTAAGGTTTAACGGTCAGTAGTAGATACAACACTACCTTTCCGTCCCTCACTCCCATCTTAAGAGGTTAAAAGGGCCAAGTGTATGTAACATACATGCTGGCTGTTTCCATTCATCACTTATATTCCTCTTGCTGGTGCAGCAGGGTACATGGTAAGTCTGATGTTCTTTTTTTATTAAGTATAGTAGGGAATTAGAAAAATAACAGATTAGAAACCTCCAGCTTAATTCTAATCATTTTTGACATTTTAATTTACATACTCATAGCTTCTAATAAATATACCAAAATACACATATTACCTGTGAAAGTTTGTAAGGGGGTGTACACTTTTTGGTATAAAATTTGCCGATTTAAAAAAATTAAAATGAGTATTATATGACAATATCTGTTTCTCCACTGTACCTGTGGAGACTTAAAGCACCTTTTTTTTTTAAGGCCTATTGAGACTGTTTGGCTCTTTGAAATTGGAATATCCATAAATTTAGTATTAGTAATAAAAATAATCTTAAAATACAAAAGATGTTCTCTTTCCACAGTTGTATTACTCTTTATGATTTCAACATTTCTGGTTTTCTGCTTAAGCATAATATTTACTGCTGATGATCTAATAGGATGCGTAGGTACTGGTGGATTTGATTCTAATTAAGGGTGTGTGTGGAAGATGATGTTAACATGTACAGAACCACATTTGAATTTTTTTCCTCTTCAGAATTTTTTTTTTTATTTTGTGATTCTTATGTAAAAACTCTGAGGTTTTTTGTTTCTTGGTTACTTTGATGTTGCTAACACTGTAATTTACAGAAAGCTGAAACCTGCATTTTCTCCATGTGGTAATTAAAACATGTAAGATGTTTGTGCTTGGGTTTCCATTCTGTGCCTGAATAAATAACCAGCTGCCCTCAGCAGCAGCTTATGGATTTTTGGAACAGTATTCAGACAGCTTTGATCAGGGATTGGAATTCCAAGGCCCCTTTATTATTCACAACACATGGTGAAACAGGCCTTCACCATAGTATATGTGGGATATGGGGTCATACCACTGAATGGGTGCTCTTGACTTACCTTTTTAAAAATCTTTCTTGAGTCTGTGTTGGTGGCATAATGGTGAGCATAGCTGCCTTCCAAACATCTTGCTTGAACTGCGAGCTGCCAGGGTACAATGTTTTTGATTTCTAATTCTGTTGTTCACAAAAACTTCAATTTTCTCAACATTGCATTAAATTTATTTTTAAGATTTTTTATTTATTAGAGAGAGAGTGCACAAGCGGGGTGTGGGAGCAGAGGGAGAGGGAAAAGCAGACTGCCCACTGAGCAGGGAGCACAAAGTGGGGCTCGATCCCAGGACCCTGAGATCGTGAGCCGAGCGGAGGGAAGCAGATGCTTAACCACCTGAGCTACCCAGGCGTCGCTTCTCAACATTTTATTATGATTATTTTCAAACACACGGCGAAGTTAAAGGAATTTCATATTAACACCCATATACCCATCACCTAGATTCTGCCATTTTTTTCAGCTCTATTGAGGTGTAAATTTCACCACCGTAACATTCACCAATATTCAGTGTATAGTTTTAGTAAATTTGGCTGTGTAACTGTCACCACAGTCCTGTTTTAGAAGACTAACTCACTTGAAAAAAGTTCCTTTATGCCCTTTTACAGTCAGCCCCCACTCTTACCTCAGCCTCAGCCTGAGGCAGCTACAATTGCTTTCTGTTGCTACACTATGTCATCTTCCAGACATTTCTTATAAATGGGATTGTATAATACAGGCCTTTTGTGTCTGGCTCCTTCTGTTTAACATATGGTGAAACAAGGGTTTCACCGTTGATGTTTTTGAGATTTTTTTTCATGTTGTTATTTCTAGCAGTAGCTCTCTTTCTTGCGGGTCCTTTTTTAAAAATCTTTTTATTTTGAAATAAATATAGGGTTTATAGGAAATTGCAAAGATAGTAGAGAAGTCCATGTACTTCTTACCCAGTTTCCCCCAATGGTTACATCTTTTTTTTTTGGTTACATCTTGTATAAGAAAAACATCTTTTCATAGCACATATTTTAATTAATGTCTCTAAAAAAAATAGCTCCCTTAAAAATTTTAGTAAGTATGGCAGTTTAGTCTTACTTTAATTTTTCTTGGACTCCAAAGTGATTTTGTTTTCTTCAACTGCCTTAGACATTCTGGGCTTGGAGTTATAAAGTTTTGCAATGTTTAGTCTTAGAGCGTTTCTGAATGGCAAATATAAGTTTATATGTTAATAGGTGATCAAAGAAGTTCATCATTGGTCCTAATCCCTGGCCCTGTGTTGGACCTAGCTCAAGAATTCTATAATCTTGTTGATGAATCCCCAACTTCACCTGAAAAACTCAGGGTTAGAGAGAGAGATGACTAAGTTTCTCATAATATCAGACCATAGACAGTTTGATATTTCTGTAAGAATAGCATAAGTGTGCAGATGGAGCAGTTTTTTATGTTATTGCAGGTGTTTAAAATTGAACCACAGTACTGACTTATGTTGATTTTTAAAAATAAACTGATATAAGCTTTTGGCTGAATATAAAGTAAAACCAAGTTTAAAAGTTCAGAGTCAACATTTTCCTGTTGAATTCTTTCAAACCTCAGTAAATTCTAAGTGTGAGGTGTAACTTATTTTCTCATAGTTGGTTTTCTGGTATATATTGGTGAAATGAAAACCATGAAATTGGAAATTAAGCTGTAATGGAAACGCAATGGAAAGATGTATCTGTTAAAGCTATTTAATATTTATACTTAAAAATCAGTGTTGAGATGTCTTAAGTCCAAATAAGGAAACATTACTCTGTAGAGTAGTATTTTTAGTCATGGGCTCGAGGAACCTGGAACTCATCTGATTTTGAGTTGGAAAGAGTTTAGGTATGCCAGGGGTCCCAGATACTGGGTCTCTCACCCTGTTCTGATCATATGTTTTGTGATTAATTGGTTTATTGAAAAGTAAGCGTCAGTAGGAGAAGGTAGACTGGAAGGGATTGGAATTTAGAATACAGATGTGCTCATTAGCCTGAAGGCAAGAGACTGCAAATCCACGCTGGTGCTGTGGGGGAAAAATCCCAACCTTCTGGTAGACCACATCATAGCACAGGGACAGGTAGCTGTGGAGAAATGTATGAGCAGCTGACGGCTGGGAGGCTCAGCAAGAGGAAGTGGGGAGTCTCATTTAACTATTGGGAAGGTCCAGAGCATTAGCAGATTGTGATTTTATTATACAGGAGGCTCATTATCCTCCTATTATGACAGAAAAATAGTCACTTATGAAGTGATTCCTTATCCAGAGAAGAGTAATAGAAATTCAGCCTATAATCTACAAGAAAACCCAGAATAAATTTCCTGTGTTAAAATTACACATAATACTGCAGCTGGCCACATCACAATAGTCCTAATGATTCAATAATAAAAATATAAATAAACTCATATGCCTGAAATGTAAAATTTAGTTTCTTTAAATAGCTGGTGAATTAAAAAGGTAGCAGAACTACTGTAAAAAAGACTTAGTACAGGGGTCCCTGGGTGACTTAGTCAGTTGAGCGTCTGTCTCTTGATCTCAGCTCAGGTCATGATCTCAGGTTCCTGAGATGGAGCCCCGCTTTGGGCTCTGTGCTCAGCAGGGAGTCTGCTTGAGATTCTCTCCCTCTCTCTTCCTGCCCCTGTCCTGCCCTGCCCTGTGCGTGCATGCTCTCTCTCACATAAATAAATCTTTAAAAAAAAAAAAATAAAAGGAAACCCAATAAAGCAGAAGGAGACTAATAATAGAGAAGAGTAAATGAAATAAGATTCTTCTTATTTGCAATTGATATGATGGACTCCTGTAGAGCTTAAGAATAGCAAGTGAAAGATTTCTTAGAATGAGTAAGAATTCGTATAAAGTGATTTATATAAAAATATGTACAAATATTTTCTCTATAAACTGATGGTGGCTACTTAGAAGAGATATGGGGGGGTGTGTTTGGAGGCGGGATTCTATTTTCAATAGCTGTAAAAATGCTTAAAAATAACTTTACCAAGCACTGTATAAGATGCTCCATAAACTACTTGTTGAATAGATGAAAACTATATAACTTTATAGACTTTTAGGTTTTTACCACAAATTGATAGAAATACCATATTTCTGGATGGGAAGATTGTTTTGTAAAGAAATGGCAGATCTGTGGGACAGAGTCAGTTCTGCAACGTGACTCTAGGGTATCAGAGGACTGAGACTATAGGAAATGGCGCAAGCCAGTAGAGAAAGTATGGGCGAAATGGAGGGAAAATTGGCTATTTATAAGAATAAAAACACCTTGCACTAAAATCAATTTCAGATAGACTAAAAAAAAAATAAAAGACAATAAAAACAATAGAATTAAGAAAATTTAATAATACTTAACTGATGTTAGGATGGAAGGATTAAGCTTAAAAATACTACTTGAAAAAATAAAACTTTTAATTTAATAAACACCATTATAAAAGGTTTAACCCAAACTGGGAAAAAGTATTTGAAACATAACAGTAAAGACCTTCTTAACACCAACTAAGAACAAACAAAAAAACCCAAAAACTCCAAGTCCAGGAACAAGAACATATAGTCAATTCTTAGAAAACATAAATGGCTAATGAACATGAAAACAGTCTTTTCAGATTTAAGATATGTATGATAAAGTAGTAGTGAGAGACCATTCTAGCAGGCAAATGGTATAAACTTATTAAATAGATAATTTTCAGTATTGCAAAGAATGTGGCAAAACACTCATCTCTCATTCTCATACAGCTAATGGGAATGAAAATAGTCTTGGTAGTTGACTGCATGTTTTAAAACATTCACAGTTCTCTATCCTAGGAAAATAAATGTCTCTTAGTTCAAGCTTTTATCAGTAAGAGTTTGTTTTGAGCCTGTGTGTCAGGCATTATGCTGAATGCTTTACATTGGTCTCATTTAATTCTCATGAGAATCTTGTAAATGTACCTTTAACCGATGGGCCATCTGACACCTAAAGAGATGAAAAACTACTCCAGTTTCAAAACTGCGAATCAAACACTAGTAAACAAGAAAGAAGGCACTCTTCCTTGGGAAAGTGCTTGTGATTAAATTAAGAATAAGAACAAGTTATAAAATTATACTTACCAATTAATTTTCTTAACCCTTTAAAGAAAGAAGAAAGGCAGTAAAGATTAGGCAGTATTCACAAATGTTATTAATACCATGTTATTAAAATGTAATTATTCCTAAGAATGATGATGATTCTTATTTCTACCCACTTTTCTACAATTAAGGTTAAAAAATTTTTTTGAGCTGAACTGGAAAAAAAAAAAGGGAGTGAGGAAAAAGCAATAGGCAAAGGTGAAAAAAAAATCAAAGAACAATAAAAAAAACAAACAACAAAACCAGTACAAGTACCTTAGGGAAAGTCCTTCAATGCTTTGCTTTTGACTTATGTGAAAAACCTAATCTGGTTATGCATGTGCAGATTTATACTCTGCTCACCTTCCTTTGCATGTTTCTGTTCCTTTCTGAGGGTGTTAGGGATTTGGTAAGCATCCGGTGCATTATAGGAACTTTTGTATTTGGAAATAAAAGTTAAGTCATTTGTTCAAATTCAAAAAAGGAGAATAGTGATAGATTTCCCAAGTACTGGTTCAGTTTGCTGTCAGCTAACACTGTTTTTTTTTTTTAAATGGACAATATATATTTATAAAACCAATGGGAGGGAATTCTTTATTTTCATCTTTTTTTTAATTAAAAATTCCACGTTCTTAAAATGCAACTGCAACTAGTTCTGCTTTTCTGTGGTGTTCCAGGCTTACACCAGCCAGTTTGTATCCCTTGTCATGTTTGCCCTCATGATGTGTGATGACAGGATCTCCATGCAAGAGAGACGCAAAGAGATCATGCTTGGATTGAAGCGGCTGCCTGGTACGAAGATCTCACACAGTAGATTTTTGTTGTCTAAGGGAGTGGCTAATGGGTGAAGTTTCTTCTTGTCTTTGAAGCTGTGGGTTTTAGCTACTTAGTCAAAAAGATCTTTCTTCTTGGCACCTCTGTGTTTAAAAATCCTTTACTGATACTACAGAATAGAAACATTGGTCTTTTGTTGGTTGCTGCCAATATATCATTGTTATTATATCAGTTCAGTTTATTGCCCTTTTTTCATAGACTTTGTTAATATGACTTCTTAACAGATTTAATTAAGGAAGTACTGAGCATGGATGATGAAATTCAGAAACTGGCAACAGAACTTTATCATCAGAAGTCAGTCTTGATAATGGGACGTGGCTATCATTATGCTACTTGTCTTGAAGGGGCACTGGTAAGTCTTCTCACTTATAATTATGTCTGTGGACTTAAGGACCTGGCACATAGTCATACTTTTAGATCCAGTGAAATAGGTGGGACTTTTGAAAATGTCTCTGTATTTATGCACTCTGATTTGTTATCTTGAGAAAGGGTAACACAATACTTAATTCAAAAGTGAATATCAAGAAAAGTACATTTTACCACCATGATTTGGGTTTAGGAAGTTACTTGGGTTAATTTGTTGTCCAAATGTTAATAAATAAAAGATTAAATTCTCTAGGTGTGGGATTTCATGGAAGTAAACATGAGGCAAGTAAAAGAACAGTTACAGAGTAATAGGAATATATTCATGATCATCTAAAATCTTTGCGAAGTTTTTGTGATTCTAAAATTTCTAATTAACAAACTTCCAGTTACTTGTTGATAGTTCAGAAATAATTTATTAACCTATATTTACAGGTCAGAGGTCCTTTTATACTTTTGGATGAATAGTGACTTCAGACAACAGATTTTTTTTTTAAGATTTTATTTATTTGACACAGAGAGAGATAGTGGGAGAGAGCACAATCAGGGAGCGAGGGAGAAGCAGTCTTCCCGGTGAGCAAGGAGCCCGACTTGGGGCTCGATCCCAGGACCCTGGGATCATGACCTGAGCCGAAGGCAGATGCTTAACCAACCGAGCCACCCACGCATCCCTGGACAGCAGACGTTTTATGTAATATTTACGTAAGAATGGGGTTTTGAATAACAGACTGAAGACTAATCTAGTTCTTTCCTGTTAGAAAATCAAAGAAATCACTTACATGCACTCTGAAGGCATCCTTGCTGGTGAATTGAAACATGGCCCTCTGGCTTTGGTGGATAAGTTGATGCCTGTCATCATGATTATCATGAGAGATCACACTTATGCCAAGTGTCAGAATGCTCTTCAGCAGGTGGTTGCCAGGCAGGTAAGTAGGGGCTGCTAGGAGGGCGCTGGGAATTATCTAAGAGTTGGGTCACTAAAGCTTATTTGAATTTCATGACATTTAAAGTGATAGACCAGTGCGTAGTGGGAGGCTTACAAAACATGTTGAGGTTTATGTGTGAAGAATCGGAGATACTCAAGAGTTTTGACAGGGCCCAGCTCTTAGATCTCATAATAAGCAGAACCAAGACCAAAACTGAGGTCCTAGTCTTCAGATCCTCTCCTCTCTCCTAGTGTATGCTGCTCCCTTTTAAGTTAATATTTTTAAAAGTATATTTCAGGAGAAACTGGGTTTTACGTTAATATTACAGGTGTTGTGCTTAACTGCATTTTCTTCAGATCATTTGGCTTTTCTATAAAGTCCCGAAGATATTACTGTCTGGTAACTGAGCTCGGTATTTCTCAGTTGTGTGAGTTTCAACAAATTACAGAATCCCACAAAGTTTCCGTTTCCTTGGCTGCAAGTGAACTCAATCTGAGTTACCCCTAGGATTGTGAGTCAGGGAGGCCATGTGTATATGCGCAGTGCAGAATTTGCACGTTCATGTGCAACAGCTCTGCCTTTGCTTACCATTGATTTTGTGTGTGTGTGTGTGTGTGTGTGTTTCTTTCCCAGGGACGCCCAGTGGTGATTTGTGATAAGGAAGATACCGAGACCATTAAGAACACAAACAGAACAATCAAGGTACCTCACTCGGTGGACTGCTTGCAAGGCATTCTCAGTGTGATCCCCTTACAGCTGCTGGCTTTCCACCTTGCTGTGCTGAGAGGCTATGACGTAAGTGATGGGCCCCTGGAGAAATCTTGAGCTCGCTTTTTACTTGGTTCACTCTTAGTTTGCTTCTAAATTTTTAGCAATAGCATTTGAGAAATCCTTCAGATATTTATCTGTCACCTGTTATATTTGCACGGCCCAGTGTGTAGGTTACGTCATAACCTTTTCTTACCTGCTGAACCTGAAGGAACCTTGGAGCCTACCTCTGTGATTGGAGAATTTACCTCTTTGGGGAGTCTCCATGTGTTTTCTGTTTCCTTCCGGGTGGCTGGCGGTTCTTTGTTTGGGACGCCCCTGCACATTGCAGGACTTAGCATTCCCAGTCTCCCAGCCCAGCGTCCTGCTCTTACACACAAATCATAAGTCACTACCAACTGGCATTTCTAGTAAGAAAGGATTTAAGGTGGGGAATTGGGCTTACACAGCCATTAGAAGGCCTAGGGAAAGGCAGGGGAGGGAGGCTACTGTGCCATCCACCAGGGTAGGAATTGCAAGGAGCCACTACTGTTGGGGGTCTCGGCTGCTGTAGCACCAGGGTGGGCCACTGCCAGAAAGATGCATGGAAGCTGTTGGCCAGTCTTACATTAGCTGCCTGAGGCCCGTGACCCTCCAAGTGGGCTGTCCCTTTTATAGAGGACCACAGAAGCACTTCCTGTGCTGAACTGGCTCCTTTAGAATGCTTTTTCATTTCAAGATTCTTAAGATACATTATTTGACTCTATTTTTTTTTTTTTTTTTTTAAGATTTTATTTATTTGACAGAGACAAAGCGAGAGAGGGAACACAAGCAGGTTGAGTGGGGGAGGGAGAAGCAGGCTTCCCGCGGAGCAGGGAGCCCAATGCAGGGCTCGATCCCAGGACCCTGGGATCGTGATCTGAGCCAAAGGCAGACGCTCAATGACTGAGCCACCCCGGCGCCCCTTGACTGTTTTCTTTCTTTTTTTTTTTTTTTAAAATTTATTTATTTGACAGAGCACAAGCAGAGGGAGAGAGAGGGAGAAGCAGGCTCCCTGCTGAGCAAGGAGCCCGATGTGGGACTCGATCCCAGGACCCTGGGATCATGACCCGGGCCGAAGGCAGCTGCTTAACTGACTGAGCCACCCAGGCGTCCCTTGACTCTATTTTCTAATGTTAGTTTTTTGTAGTCTGTAATTAAGATAGTTGAGGAACATGTTGTTTTCTGGTTTTATACACAAAAGTAATTTGCTTAGAGTCACTGTTCCTCTCCCCCCAATCGATACAGTCTTTCAAATATTGCTTCTTTTGCAGGTTGATTTTCCCCGGAATCTTGCCAAATCTGTAACTGTAGAGTAAGGAGCGTCTGCAACTCTGGGCGATTGAGCAACACAAGACACCTTTTGTATTTAACACCTTGATTTAAAATTCAGCCTTTGAAGCCTTTTTTAGTAAATCCTTATTTATATATCGGTTATAATTATTCCACTCAATTTGTGATTTTTGTGAAATTACCTCATATTTTTCCAGTAGTTTGTGGGGGAGTTTAAATAATGGAATTTATATTGGAATCGTTACCACAGAGATTTAGCTCTCATTTTCTTTAAAGGATGCTGGGTGTTGGATTTCTGGGCCCTTCACTTCAGTCTGGGAGAATTGTGTGTTTTTAGAATAATTGGCCTTTGTTTTACCGTGCTTCTATTCATTCAGCCCAAAGAAAGTGTAGTACATTTAATTTGGAATATCTAAAGCCAGTGGCAATGTCTGCTAATGGTTGGACATTTAATTAAGGTTTTGTTAAGTTTACGTATAAAGAGAAGATGGTGTGATTTGTTTTGAAATTTGTGTTTTGTTTTTAAATCAAACTGTAGAACTTAAAAACTGAAAGCTTTTCTTGGTGGGATTTCTATGTAAGTTAGGTTAACCTGAGTGTCTCAGACCTGTTGCTTGTTATCTGGAGGTCGAGTTAATGTAGGAAGCTCGAGTATGGTAGTACATTGGTTTTCTCCACTCTTAACAGCAAGTATTTGCACAATTTCATAGCAGAAACTTTAAATTTGAGCTGCTTTGGACAACTGACAACATGATTTTCTTGTGAAGATGGGGGACCTCCAGGTGGGGTGTCCTACTCCTAGCTTTTCCATCTTCTAAAACTGATTTTTATTTCCTTGTATCTGTAGTTTTTTGTTTCATGTGTTTTTCTTAATGACTTCTTTGAAATCACCACACAAAGTTGCTGTCATATGTCTGAGATTAAATCAGTACTGATACATGCAGAATTCTCTAATTTTTGTCCCAAGGAAAAATTTCCTGCAGTGAATTTTAACTTTTTACTGCCTTTTTGCATAAAACTAGTACCATCCTGCCAGTTGGCAGTTCTTTGTAGTATGGAAGATTTGCAAGTCTTTTGACTAATCATTTGACTGTACATGCTGAGCTAGGCTTAGAGAAAGCTGAATGCTTTACACTGATGCTAGTGAAGGATTGCATCGAATATAGTATTATTTCCTAGGTATATTTCTCTATTGTCTGTGTTCTACCCCTGAAATATACTTAGGAATGAAGAAGATACAAATAAGTAAAGTGATATCAAGGTGCCTTCAGCTGGTTTACGTCAGAAATGGAAATTAACAATTTAGATTAAAATAGAGTAGAATATTAGTTTGACATCCAACATGTTGTGAGTAGTAATTTCTTTATGGGGCTTTTTGGCCAAATCTTGGGGGTTATAGGGCAGTGTGTTTGTGTTTTGGTGAAGTCCTCTTTCTAGAGTTTTTGCCTTTAAATTGTGAAGGTAAGATATTTAGCATAATTATTTAGGTAAATTCATGTTTTTTCTTTTTTCTGTGTTTGAATTTCTTGGTGAGGTTAAGATTTTCTAATAGCTATTGCTGCAAGGGGAGCACAGAATTCTGCTTGTGTATTAGGGTTAGAAAAATACTTTGCATATTTTGAGGTACTTTGGAAGGACTGTCCTCCTAGGTGGAGACTAGAAACCTGGTTGTTTTTAAAAATAAGGTTACTATTGATATCATATATATATGTAGCTACTGTAGCTATATTTATCCATTTTAATTGTTTCTGAGATTATTTTGTTTAGGCCTGCTAGTTTTAGTATGTGTATAGTGTCAATTCTTATGTTAAATTAGCATTTTATGTCTGTGATTTGTATGGGTTTGTAGCATTTCTTAATGGTCTGAAGTTTGAGTCAGCATTCTAAGTGAACAAATACGTGAAATCAATCATTAGTTTTCAATTTCTCTTTTTCTCTTCCTCTTTGTGTCTCTCTCTCTCTCTCTCTC